ACAGTGGCATAATGTGCACCTCTGCCTACCCCTGGAGCAGTTTCAGGCGGGAGCAGTCATTCGATGATTTTCCCCCCTTAAAAAAAAATCCCTTCGGGGATAAAAGGCGTGATGTTATGTTATGTTTAATTAACACACAAACAACGCTAGGTCATCCGCATTTCCAGTTCGGGCATTACTCAAGTTGTACTGCGCCCCTTCTGTGGTGGTCCGATGCACGGGTACTATATAATAGTCTTGTGTCGTTACTCATTAAGTATTAATTTCATACCAATTTAATTCTTACCTGAGCTTGACAGTTCGCTCCTATGCACTGAAATTAGGTAACGAAAAATAAAGTTATTAAAAATAGTTTATACTACATAAATTATCAGTAGGATAGCAATAGGCTAACCCCCTATTACATGGGACTATTATATATTACATGGGCATAATATAGTGACAAGTGGGTACAGTGGTATTAAGTGTCGTAATATGCACCTCTGCCTACTACTTCAGGAACAAAAGGCGTGATGTTATGTTATGATTCGTTTCCCATTCTCCTTTATTCATTCAGGCAATACCGCGAGGACACCGGTGATCGCAAGCTATTGTTCTTTAATTGTGTCTATAATGACGGCACTCAACGAGTTAATATAATGTAATATAATTTATTTTATACCATAAAATTTATAAATACTCTTTAAAAAAATTGGTCATCTCACCTTTGTATTGACTTCTGGGCCGGTTGCCTGCAAACATGTTTTTTTTTATTATTCTGATCAGATAATTATATAGATGCAAAAAAAAAATCTGGTGAAAATTGGCAAATAGAAACTTCTCTTCTTTGGAAGTTATCAAATGGCTCCTTCTGAGCCGCTTCGTAAACGTCAATCGTCGCAGTATTCGATGTTTTATAGGAGTGGTCTTCGAACCGATCGCTGTGGAACACCGCAAGATTCTGATATCTATGAAAAAGTTCGGATGCCGTTGCCTGTATCTAAGTCAGTTGCAGGTTCAAGACTTTACGGGGCTTACTCTTGAATCCATTTTAGATCGATCGACATTGGTATTGTGAAATTTTGTACAACACTGGCGCCCATTGCATCCATATTGCGTGGATATTGAATGAGCTAAATAGTATTGACAGCTACGATAGGTGTTGTACAGTATTGACATTGAATAATTATTGAGATTTTATTGGATTGAAATATCATTGACATAGGTTTCAAGAGTAAATACCCAGGTCATGTAATGTTTATTTACTTGTTATTGTACTTACATAAGCCATACAATCATCCTTCATGCACTGAAAAAGGGTTAACGGGAGAGCTTTATTATTTTTAGGATCCAGGTACCTATCTGAACGATGAAAGTAATGTTATATGACAGGATAGGATAGTCCTACTATTTTTTTGTACCTGGATGACTGAGCACTGTTCGTTCGTTTTTCTTAGTAAACGACATTTTCTGTAAATGAATAGCTAGATTGATATAAGGCCCCCGAAAGTCTCGGAATTCAATGAAAAATTTCAAGATAATCGTTGGAGCCGTTTTAGAGATTGTCGATATATACCTACTAGCTTTTACCCGCGGCTTCGCTCGCGTTACAAAAGGGTAAAAAGCCAATGTGGCATATACCAATACACACAGCGCCATCCATACTAATACTTTTGTTTTCCCTCGGGAATATCAAATTTTTCCGGGAAAAAAGTACCCTATTATTTAATCCGGACTTCTAACTATACATCTGCAAAAATTCAAAGCAATCGGTTTAGTAGTTATGGTGTGATAGTGGAACAAACAAACAAACAAACTCACTTTCCGATTTATAATATTATAAGTAAGGATTATGCGCTACCTTTTTCGATGACCACGTGGGTGAAACCGCAAGTGATATTAAGTAAAATATAGTTTATTAGCTTTGCTCGTACTTACCGCTGATTGTGACGCTCGACCTTTAGACTATATCGCAAAGAAAAAAGTATTTATTTGGTAAAATATTGTTATAAAAAAATGGCGTGGTGATTCGGAGGTTTAAGACTTGGAAAACCATCAATGACAAGTACCAATGTGACGTTTTCCGAGTTATATGAGCTTTCTAACATTATCTAGACACCACTGACTGAACTTATAATTTCTAATTAAAAGTTTGAATTCGCCAACCCGCATTGAGCAAGCGTGGTAATTAAGCTCAAACCTTCTCCGTGCGAGAAGAGGCTTTGCTCAGCAGTGAGCACTTATAGGCTGTTGATGATGATGACAATGCAAATATTTTTTTAATGTACATTTGCACCAAACTGTCCTGAATTTAAAAGAGCCTCTAATTTAAGATAGGAGACATTTAACATTATTTTGGTTTACACCCACCTATAAGTTTTTTTTATTTATATTAGTCTTTTAGTGTTGCATTGTTGTCGCACAATCCAAACAACAAAACTATGTAACTAGAGAATTGTATTGTGAACCTGATTGAAAAAGAGTAACCTATGGAGTTTCTTGCTCGTTTTTCTCCATAGGAATCTACACCTTGGAATGGAATGAGCAAATAACTTCACTTTTATTTTTTTTGTTGATGTTCAAAAGTGCCTTTCTGATTTTGTCTTTTGACTTTTATATATTTGATGGGTTTGACCACTATCTCGCCTGGTGGTAAGCGATGATGCGGTCTACGATGGAGCACGTCGTCCCATAAGCAACCTATTCACTCGGGCTTTGAAGACACCCAGGTTATACCCTTCAGGAAACACAGACTCTCGCAAAAATTCCCGCCCTTAGCAGTACGCATAAAGAAGCTTGGTGCGAATCGTGGAGTTTTGTGCGTGTGGGTGGGATATCTACGATCTACGGGTGTGGTACGATGATGGAAGGGACTAGGGGGAATCAAGTGACACCTACCAGTACAAGTAAGGGGTTAGTTTAGGTGCTACGTCTCGCTAAGTAACTTCTAGTTAAAGTTTAGACATTGTTGGTGAATGTGGCCATTGTTGTGTACATTAGGTATTAGAAATAGTACTATCCATAAAGGTACATAAAGGATTGTGTTAAATTCTTACCACTGCGTGACATGTTTTGCCCTGACACTGAGGGATAAAACCAAAACATATTAAGTTCATAATGATATTATAATGTACGGCTACTAAAACTACGACTGCCTCGTTGGCCGAGTGGTCGCCAGTGCGACTGCCGGGCAAGGGGTCGGGCAAAGTACCTATTACTGGGTTTAAAAAAAAATCTCAGTAGTAGCACGGAGTCTGGAATTGTGCCCGGTATATGGCAATAGGCTCACCCCCTATTACATCGGACTCATAACATAAACAGTGAAAAGTGGGTGTTACATTGTACAGTGGTATAATGTGTACCTCTGCCTACCCCTTCGGGGATAAAAGGCGTGATGTTTTGATGATGATGACTAAAACTACCTAGGTACTATAGAGGTAGTGACCAAGGATATCCCACGCAAAGTTGTGAACCGTTGCTTATTCTGCATGCGAGCTACAGTTCAGTGGTGGATGGTTGACGTCTGTCTACATTACGTGTCTACTTGATGTTGATGTTGTCTATCAACTGCTTGCATTTTGTGAGTTTTTTATATTCATATTAATATACTTGTGGAGTATTTTATTCAAATAAAAAAATTAGAAATTTAAATTTTACTGTTTTTATAATTACCGCGGGAGACCGCGGGTTACTCACGTGAATATACTGAGAAAAGCTACAGAGGGCGCGTTGGGCTAGATGAACAAGTAGCAACACCGATGCGAGCACCAACGCTAGACAGTAGGCTGCGCGACATCACCGCGACCGCGCATGCTGCTCATGAGGAAGAACCCCTCGGGTTCGAAACTAGTAGAGCTTTTCTCAGTATATTGACGTGACTAACCCTCAAGTGTTAGTTAATTTAAATAACACTATTATGAATAAACTAACTGACCCGGCAAACTTCGTAACGCCTAAAATTTTTTTTTCATCTTCTGAACCTTTCCTGGACTTCCATGAACATTCCAAGACTAAAAGTAGCCAAATCGGTTCAGCCGTTCCCGAGTTTTAGCGAGACTAACGAACGGAAACACATTTCTATTTATATAGATGTATACAACTTAAAATAAACTAAAACAGTGAAAAAGAAAATAAAATAAAAGTCAAGTCTATTTACATAAGACCATGTGTAATTAAGAATTATCTGTGTCTTTCGTACTTACTTTGGCAAAGCAAACTGGACCTTCACACTGCGGAAATAAAAGAAAATATTGAAAAACAATACATTTCTTTAATGTTTTCATTACTTTTAAAAAGATTTTATTGGAATACTATAGCTCTGCCCGCGACTTCGTACGCGCAATCCCGTTTTCTCCCGTTCCCATAAGATTGTCAGATTTTTTTTCTATCATAGGAACCTTCCACAGACTATAACAAAAAAAAAATCAGCCAAATCGGTCTATCCGTTCTCAAGTTATGGCGTGACAACAGGAAACGGGTTTCATTTTTATTCATATAGATATATATTGATTTGATATTAGAGGTATTTTTATTTATAATGATTATAATAAAATTAAAACATTACCGCCGCTATGCATTGTTCTTTGTAGCACTGAAAATTTAAATAAATACTTGTAATATTATTTTTATTTGTTTTATGTTACGTATTAATTCTCCACGGACTCTTGGCCCGTGCCCTTGTCATACATTTTGTTTTATAATACGTTTAATCAATATTTATAAAGTACCTAGTTACACACTACAATAAACCACATCTGTAATTATTACTAAAATAATAAATTACACAATAATTAACTATTGTCTCATATCAACTCATATCAACTCATATCTTATCTTTACTCTACAGTACACTGTTCAATCCTGCTACCCCTCATTATCTTAAAGAACGTTTCCAGTTCTTCCATGACACACATTCTAGACCAGTACGGTCATCGGAGGACATGAAGCTTGAGATGCCCCAGCATGCGAGCAGATCATTTGACAGATCTTTTACAGTTCGAGCTGTTCGACTGTGGAATGCTCTGCCACTTTCTATAAGACAAGCAGAGTCACTTGTTGCATTTAAAGCACTCGTGAAAAAGCATTATCTCTCCACGTTGTAATTTAGCATTACTATTTTCTTTTCTCTCTTTGTTTTTTTTTTT